ATGTACTAATGATTCTTTCTATAAGCAAATGTTGACTACAAATCAAACATGGGTCAGTAGGTAGGTATAAGGAGAAATATTTTATGTAATGATTTTAAAAGTTATCTTTTGTATTCAACTAGAATAGCATCTGTGAGACCAAGGCAACAGTCACTTAGCTCTTACAAAGCTGCAGCTCAAGACATCTTCCTCATCCTACCCTGACCTCACCACACTGAGCAACCAATGCACTGTGTTCCGAAGATGGCGGCAGAGGCTCACACTAGCACACGAACTCCTGTGCCCAGGAGAGAGAAATGCTTGTACACAGAATTAAGACAAATTGACTCCTCCGATGTCAACTACATTAATAACAACATCACTGTCTACTTCATTCAGATACAAGAGCAAAAGAGCTAAGTCTCAGTGAGGGCCGCTAAGAGAACCTATTTTCTGAATAAAGGAAACAGCATCAAAGCCAACTGCTTTTGTAAACATGACTTCCAATTCAGTCAGAGCACACAACACATACATTTAAAGCCTAATTTAAATCAAATCTGAAAATAAAGTAAACCCTTAAAATTCTGCTTCAGATTAGTCAGTTTACTAGAAATACCTGATTGTGTTGCGATCCTCTAATTTGGAAATGAAATTATGGGGATGGGGGAGTATTGATTCCAGGTTAAAGAAAACAGTGGGGAAATAATTACTAAACACTGGAACCCTGTTTCTCTGAAACCTTAGGTGAAAGTACAGGAGCCAGGATTTGTTGTGCTCATTTCTTGCTTAATAGACCTACATTCAAGCTGTGAAACTCCAACTCTCCATAAGGAAAAGATATTCTTTCTTCCCAAAGAATCTTTTGCATATGGGAGCACAGGGGTGGGAGAGGAAAATGACTTCTGTGGAATGACTGGGACTTACTTCTCCACTGCTCTAATGTGATCTTCAAATCCACCACTAGCTCATGGGGTGTGCTCATGAATCTGTGCATTCAGATATGAGAAAAGGGATCCAGAGATGAAGCCTATAGGCAAGCTTAGTTTAATAAAAAATAGAACAGAACAAGTATTTATGAAGAAGGGAAGCATAGTCTATATTTTTAACTTCAATGTTTTAAATGTTATTTTGTACAAATGCTAATAATTCCTTAGATTTAAAAGTCACACTCCGAAGAAGACATGACAACTGTAAACAGCTAAGCCTCTCTGAATCAGCAAGGAGAGGAGTACCTTCTGAAACCATTACCCATTTAATCCAGTAAAGAGCAGGGCTTGATGCTCACCATGACAACCCAGGGAAGTGGACTTACAATGTCCTGTAATGTCTTTCCTTCTCTGTGTGGTGTTTGTGTGAATGTGTGCATGTGTGCACACTCATGTAAAGGTCAGAGATGGATACCAGGGACCTTTCGCAGTCACTCTCCACTTTGGTTTTGAGGCAGGTGCTCTCAGTGAACCTAGAGCTCACTAACTCAGTTAGACTGGATGGCCAATGAATTCCAGGGCTCCACCTGCTTCCCTCTTCCAACACAAGGGCTACAGATGTGTGCTGCCCCACCTGGCTTTTATTTAGGGTTCTGAGAACCCAAACTCTGGTCCTCACACTTGGGCTACTGAATGAGCTATCTCCTCAACGCAACTCAGAACAATTTCCATTATAAGCATTTGCATTTGCAAGCAAGGACAGGGAAAAAAACCAGACTGACAAAATCTATTCCCTCCCTCTCAGCACTTGCATCTGTTTCTGAATGTTTCATAGTTGCTGTATTTTTGTGTGGTTTCTACTCAGTTTAGAAATGACCTATCAGAACTCAATTTCCCTGCTTAATACAATATTTAAAAATATATATACAATCTGAAAATAATTATTAACATGTCACACTGTGATAGTATCAGGCGAGAACCAAGCAAGTAACAAATAGCTCACTTATTATGTTCAACTCAGAATGCTCAAACTTTATAGTGGAGGCCCTTTACAAAGCTTGAAATAGTTGCCATCAAAGTATAGTGTTGGAAGTTAATGGGGATTCACAAGGGGAAGGAAGTTGCTACTCAGCCACAAGCCCCTGCCAGCCCTCAGGAGTGATGGGCACTTTTAGCTGAATGTTTCCACATGTCCACTCCTAACTATTAATAGTAAGAACAGGGATCAGAAAATTTCTGTTTGAGGGATTTAAATATCCACTACAAATTCTGGCAAATTCAAAGTTGGAAATTAAGCAATGTACATAACTTGTTGATATGTCTTCTGAATTAGAAGCTCATCATTAAGTACTCATGAATGGGCATAACAGCAGAGAACAGAATTTTAGGGAAATAATCTTATCCTCAGCACTGTTCCTCATAGCCATGTCACTTAGTATCACTACCAAAGGGTATTAGGAATATTTACACGCAATGGTAAAAAAAAAATAAAAAATAAAAAAGATTAAAACAGACATGTCACAAAGCCCCATGGAATGTCAGTAAGCATATAGTGTTCAACACCATCATCAGAGAAACGCAAATGGAAAAAAGTACTATTCCAAACCACCAAAATAGCTACAATTACCAAGACTGTCATCAAGAGATGGCAATGATATGGAGCAACAGAAATTCTCATGCACTGTTGGAGGAATGCGCCTCACTTGACAAAAGGTCCAACAGTAGGGGTGCGAGGGGCAGGGGGAAGATGGGCTTCATGTGACCCAGTATTTCACTTCTGGAACAAGTTTACTATTGCAGAAAGAAACTCTACACCCCTATCTGTCATCTTCAGTCTCCAAACCCTATGCAATCAGTATGCCATTTCTTCCTCTAGGTATCTATTCTTCATATCCCATACAAATAGACTTGCTGAAGTATGTGATCTTTAAGTCCACCTGTCTTCAAGGTTATATGTGTGGTATCATGTACCAGCACTTCATTCTTTTCATATTCTCATGGACAAATCACAATTCTGGCATCTATATAACCAACAGTGTTGGACGTCCTCCTGTCTAGGGCTCCTCAGAATAAAGCTGCTGTGTATACACATGCCCATCTTTATCCTGGATATGGAAATGGAACTGCTGAGTCTAAAGAAGAACTCTGTGCTTCTCTGTTTAAGGAACTATGGAGCTGCTCTTTGCAACACTGCACAATGTCATACTGCATCAGTGTGTGAGGACCAACTGAGTTCTAAGTCCACTCACACTGCCTTGAATAGAAGCACAAAAGTTTGTCATTTTGTTGAAGTCCAACCATTTTTCTCTGGTAGTTTTCACTTTGGGTGCTCTAAGATTATCGGTTATGTTTTCTTCTGAGAGTTATTTTCTAGCTTCTACACTTCAGCACTACAATCCATTCTGAGATAACTTTTTCCTTATACCATGAAGCATAGAGACTATCTTATTCTTTTGCATGTAAATATCTAGCGGTCCCAGAATCATTTGTTGAAGACTAATCTTTTCTGCACTGAACAGTCTTGGCATTTTTTTTTTAATCAAAAATCTATTGGCTATACATATATACTCTGCTGGCCCTCCATTTTCATGAGTTCTGTATTTGTGGATTTAACTAACCATGGGCTAAGAATACCAGGAAGAAACTTTACCCACAGTGAACATGCAGAGACTTGTCTAGACATCCTACCCTAAACAACTTGCACAGGATAGCAACAATTTATATAACATTGGTATTGTAGTAGGTATTATAAAGGATAGAGGGAGATGTATGTGCAAATACTATGCTATTCCAATATGGGATATTAGCACCTACTGCAGATTTGGTATCCACAGGGCATTCTGAAACCAATTCTCTACAGATAGCAAGGGACTGTATAGTTCTCAATTCTAGTTCATGTACATATATGTCCATCCTCAGGTCAGTACCACAATTCTTGAATACTGTTGCTTAATGGTAGGCTTTAAGGTTTTCTTTCCTTACTTTATGCATTATATGCTGGTAAGCACTTAAATGACCATATGCAATATAGATGTTAAACATAATGCAATGTTGCAGCCCCTCTGAGCATGTTTACATACATTCAAATGCACAGCTTGTACAAGGTTATTTTGACAAGGTTGGTCAAAAGGAATGTACATCTTAAATTTTGAGAGGCATTGACAATTCACCTTCCAACAAGGTTGAGTCAAATTATACTCCTTCCAATAATATTTAAGAAGCCCACGTGACCTACTTTTCTCCAATAGAGAGTATTCTTTTTTCAATCCCTACAATTTTTCTGATTTTCCAATCTCTTTTGTCATGATAAAAGGATGTGAATATTGTTCTTCTAAAACATGACTGATACCATAGCAAGTACACCAGTCTTCTCTCTCATTGCTTCTCTAACTACACTCTCTAACTGACCTAAGAAACACATGTAATAAATGCACCCATGAAAAGAACAGTACCTGACACTGTCAAGTGGTTGATGGAATGTTCCAATTACGTGGTATGAAAAATGACTGCATCCAATGTAGAGGAATGTCAGAGTAGACTTGACATTCCTTCAAGACTTTTTTCCATATCAAATATAAAAGGAGGAGCTGTCAGTCTTTTAGACATACTAAACAGTGATAATGACTTATTAATTTAGTTTGCCCATCAATAAATCAATTAGGACATCGAAAGAATGGTTTAATTACTAGTAAAATGTTTGTCTTCACAATCGGGGAATTTATCTTAAACTATTTAAAGGAAAACATAATGTTGAAATAGTGTTATTTGTAACACAGGAAAACAAAATGATCAGTGTGGTATAAAAGGAAGATTAGAAAAAATTAGTACACACTAAATGCTAATAATAGAAAAAAAGTATATGTCATTATTAAGACTATAAACACAAGGTCTGCTGTCATATAAAAATACTCTGCTAATTTTTAAGAGGGATGCAAAATTTTATGTATACTTTATACATAATTAATAGTTGCAGGTAATATTCTCTTCTAACTTGTAAACTTCACATAACTTTTTAGTTATTACATCATCATTTAGTTATAACCACAATCACATCATCTGTTCATACATGTCAGTTTACATAAAAAATATACTTACTGTGATGATGCCAATCAGTTGTGTATAAAAGAGTCCTGTTATTCCAACTAACATAGTAATGCCCATAAAGGCAGCTAGTCTCATGATAGCCAGCTCATGCCGAACAACAAAGAGGTCCTACAAAGAGAAAGAAAGTCTTAAAAATGACTTGCAGAACTGCCTACTGTTGAAGTCATAACCAATATGTCATGCCTAAGTATTCCCCTTCCCACTTTAAAGAAACCACCTCCTCCTGTTCCATGTCATCAACACACAAATATTAGAAATTTTCAAAAATAACTTTAGAACTTACAACAAGAAAGTTGAACACTACAGGAGTTCACTACTGTATTGTATCTTTAAATAACAATCTCTCTCAATACCAGGGTTATAAGCTACTTTTTTTTTTAAACATTGTGGCAGAAAACAAAAATCAGAAAAGGTATGGCATGTTTGGTCCACAGCGGAAAGTTTGTTATTACACTGCCAAAATTTTGGAATGTACAGACATGATTTATAATATTAAAATTCAAGTGACCCAAATCCCTAATAATTGTCAAATTTAACCCCAATGAGGGAGAAACCTGCATAACAGTACATGGGACAGCCTCTTCAAGCGCACTCCATTCATTCTTCCATTTAGTCAGCCCTGTGACACACATGATAAGCAATAATGACGTGCCTTACACACTCCAGAACTACACTGGTACAACTCCCAAACATGCCACGCTGTACTACTGAAGGTGTGGGCACAGAGAACGGCAGAGATGGAAAGGAACATGGCGGGGAATAGGAACTGTGATAAGGCAGAGGTCATTTGGTCATTTCCAGGGAATGGAACTGAGGATTCTTAAAGTGAACTGCGTTCTAAGGACAGAAAAACAAAAAACACTTTACTTGTCATCATGGTTCCTGAACTTATCAGAGGGCGTCCAAGAATTAGGATTCTCCAGGAGCCTGTTGCTGTTAAACTTGGAAGTAAAACAGCCAGTTCTTAGATGCAACAGGTGGAGGGAAAGACGCCCCAATACAACCATTGTGTGCTTATGGTCTTTTCCTTAAAAATGACTGCCCCATCCCCATGAGAACCAGCCTATCACTGAAAGATTTGGGTTGTTTTGTTTTCTAAGAAAAGAAATAAATCTGATCCCATCTGACATATCTAACATAGAGACTTGAGTTTTCAAAATGACTAAATACCCACCTTTATATGCAGAGATTAATGCTGATATGAAAATTCATTTTATAACAAAATACATTTTATTTTAATCTTAAAAATCTTTATAGCTGTATTATTTTTTCTGCATATTTGGGCCTTTTGTTTATTGTAGCTGGAGTTTTCTCTCTGGGTCCCAACAAGCCCTGGCAGTCAGACAGCCCACTTATAAAATAAACACACAGATGCTTATATTATTTAAACTGTTTGGCCTAATGGCTCAGGCTTCTTGCTAGCTGTTCTTATATCTTAAATTAACCATTTCTATTAGTCTATAAGTTGCCACATTGTTCGTGGCTTACCAGTACCTTACATCTCGCTTGTCATGGCGGCGGCTGGTACTGTCTCTCTACCTCAGCCTTCCACCTCCCAGAATTCTTCTCCTCCTTGTCCCGCCTATACTATCCTTCCTGCCTGGCTACTGGCCAATCAGCTCTTTATTTGTTATCCAATCAGAGCAACACATTCACAGCATAGAGAACATCCCACAGCAGTTTATTAATTCCAAAATATAGTTGGAGTGTTTAGAAGTTTATTATGTAACCCCTCTCCTCCTACAATCTTTGAAGGAACATAAATTCTTTCAGTCTCATTACATTCTAATGAAAATTTATATCTAAAGGGAAACTCACAATTTATACCTCTCTAGTGACTATCAATGAATGCCCAGAATCAAACATTACATTTTGTATATATGTATATACGTGCAACTTTGTTATCATTGAACAAATGCGACCAGCACCTGATTTCCAAGCAGACAGTGAATACTTAAGAAAAATGGTCTTGTTTGTCTTTCCATATTTTATCAGTAGGATTTCTAAAAAGGATGGTGCAATTCATAAGAAATGGGGTAACACATTTTCTTGTTAAATTCATAACTGAATGCAGCCCTGCAGTGTTTGGTAGCATTAAGACAGTGGCAACAGTGCTCCCAGGTTTTAACCATTTAAACTCAAGGAGACTGACAGTCTCCAATGAGAGAGCTGCTGTGTCTCCCATGTGAAATGCTACTCTATTTAGAACTCGACACCACAGAAACAGTCTCGTGGAGACGTGCACAGCCATCCTGTTATTACAGCACATGCTCAGGGCTTGTACAAGGTTTCTATGTTCCATCTGTCAAGACAGAAAAGGAATCCACTGACACAAAGAACTGACAACTGTTAGATTATCTTGTTTTTGTCTACCAATATCTGTAAATGTTCTACAGACAACATCCCAGCAGTAAGTCAGTACACATGAACAAAGAAGCTAGATTACCTTCACACTAGCATTAATAGTTTATTTTTTCATATTGATCTTAACCCCACATTCTTCTTTGTTATATTTATCAAAATTTCATAAACTAAATACATATTTCATCAGTATTCTCCATTCTTCAGGGAGCATAACAAATAAGTGACCTTGTACATGATAAGAAAATGAAGATCATTAAGGCCTCAAGTATTGTAATGGCAATACACAGCTGAAGGAGTCAAATTACCTTTAAGGATGATTATAAAAAAAAAAAAATGTTTTTTAATTATAAGATTTAGAAATATCCAAAGATACTTGCAATCAAATCTTCTTGGTTTTGTTTTGTTTTTGTTCTTTTTGTTTGTTTGTTTGTTTGTTTTTTGGTTTTGGTTTTGGTTTTTTGCCAAAAGCCTAGGCAAAGAATTGTGTGGCACAATTCTATGACAGACACTATTAGACATCCACCAGGTGGGATAGCAGTAATGTGTCTTGCTAGCAGAAGAGTCTGGATGGCCACTGCACATTATTTATTTCCCTCTTAGGAATACTGGCAGCAAGTCCTTTGTTTCAATTCTCCCTCCTCGTCCCCTTCTGTTACCCCTGCTCTCATATCATTAAATGTAGTTTGTATAATTTTGACCTTCACATAAAAATAACTATAAAAGAATCAATCAGAAGTTAATTTGAATCTACTTCATCTAAAAATAATTTTAAAAGCATAATTTTAGAACTGAAGTGGCATTCCACAAATGATTAGCTGTGTAACTCCTACTTTAACACTACAAACTATTTACTTAAAAATACGGATTTTCCCTCTCATAGATAGTAATTACCGTCTACAATATCTAGTAGGCAGTGGGTATACATTTTTTAAAATTTAAACTATATGACATTTTTATAAGATAGAATGAGCAGTTTTTATGTTAGATAAAAATATTAAATGCAGGCTGCCTCAAAGGAAAAAAAAAGAAATCATCAATGTATGAATCTATTGACTTGTCATTCTTTTAATAGCAAATTTTGTACTGTGATAGTATAGTTCAAATCTATACTTACATCTTTTAAAATGCCAGGATAAAATTGCCTGGAAACTTTCTGGATGCACCAGGCATGGTGGCATTTACCTACAATGCTTGCACTTGGGGTGGAGGCAGGGAAACCAGAAGTTTAAGGTCGCCCTGGGCTACATAGCAGGTTTGAGGGCAGCTGAGGCTTACGTGAGACCCTGTTCCCTCCCAACCCTGGAAACAAAGCTCTTTGAGAGGAAACAGAAGCCAGAAGCCGTATTTGCAGGCTCATGCTTGCTACGCCAGAAGTGTCGGCCCAATCACCTTGTCAGACCTGTGAACAGATAAGCACAGAGTCTCCGCCACCTTACCAGTCTCAGGGACACTCCAAAAGATGTTTCCCACTATTCCAAGTATACACAAGTCAGAATTACCCAATCTAAGATAAAAGTTGGAAAACACATGACTGATGAAAGATTTATGCCCCAGATATAACTTAAGAACATTTACTCTAAATACAGTGATACCTTCCTTCATATTTCATTAAAAATCTGCAGTTTTCTTTTGTTTCAGTAATACACTAAGTGACTAAAAATCTGCTGATGAAACTCTTATAAATAAGTATGTGTAACAGTCACATACAGACCTTGGCCAAAGATTAAAGTTCATCTTCTTCAATATTCATTTAATTTAATTAGAATAGTAAATGATCTTACCAACAATGGGTTTGTTAAATCCTATAATAATTTTTATCCCAATAATTAAAGTAAGACATCAGTTTCAAGAGTTTTAAGAAAAACCCAACATTACACTGTCATGAAAAAGTTAAACAAATTCAGTGCCTAACATTTTAAAGGCTTTTCTAGACTTAAAGCTTATACACTTTACACATTTTCCCAAACTGATTATTTCATCCTATTTGTTTAAAAACTGAGCCTGTTACTCAAGTTTCTGAAAATTTCTAGACACCCATTTATTATTTTCTTACACTAATTTCGATCTTTGGAATTTTTTAACTTAAGATTTATTTATTTTACATCATGTACCTGAGTCTTTTGCCTGCATCCTTGTATGTACACCGAATGTGTGCCTGGTGCCCAGGGAGCCCAGGGGAAGGTGGTCAGATCCCCAACAACATCGGCTACAGATAATTCTGAGCCACTAGAGGAGTGCTGGGAACTGAGCCTGGATCCAGCAAGAGCAGCAAGTGCTCTTATACACTAAGCCATCTATCCAGTCCCTGGAATCTTTAAACTACTGTTTTCAATGAGGATAAATCATATAAATTCTTTTTTTTTTTTTTTTTTTTTTAGCTCATGGGCTGTCCTTAGCAGAAGGCCTACAATATAAATCAGTTTAAGAAAGAAATCCTATTTGGGGCATCAATTCATGTTGAACTATGCCATTATACTCCTATACCTTCCTTCCCTCAACAACGGGTATGTTCGAGTATTTCCCAAATCTTCACGAGAAGCCAGGAAAGGTGGTATCCTGAAGGTAAATATCAAGATGAAGCACGAGGCGGGGAGTGCAGTCCAGTGCGGAAGGGCTTGTCGATCATGCACAGAACTTAGGCTCACTCCCCAACACTACAGGGGGAAATAAGACTTTTTTTAAAGCATGAAGTTACTGTAAGAAAAAGAAAAACCAGGGATAACTGCAAAGAAACTAAAATAATC